CTCTAAGGTACCTTGTTCTAAGGGCTACGTATACGCGCTTCGTCCGACTCCTGAGATGTGGACTAAAAACCTTCTGAAAAGAACTCAGGTGCTGTACTTGATGGACACTAGTACCGTGGTGTTGCATCTAGAGCTGAAGCCCGGATCAGTGGTTGTGGAGGCCGGTTGTGGAAGTGGTTCGCTGTCACATGTAATGCTGCGCACGATTGCCCCTCATGGGAAACTGTTCACCTTTGATGTGAACGCTGAACGGGTGGATAGTGTGCGACGCGACTTCGCAAAGAACGGCTTCGAAGCAATGACCGTCGTCGAGCAGCGCGATGTGTGCAGTGATGGCTTCGGAGTGACCGAAGTGGCGGATGCGTTGTTCCTTGACTTGCCTAGACCGTGGGAGGTGATCCGACGAGTCAAGACTGTGTTCAAGCCAAACAGGGTGTGTCGCTTTGGCTCGTTCTCGCCGTGCATTGAACAGGTGCAGAAGACATGCGAAGCTCTGCGAAAGGAGCGCTTCGTAGAAATCGATGTTCTTGAATGCGTCGTACGTTACTACCGCGTATCCAGTATCACCATGCAAACTCCGAGGGTGCTAACGACGTCAAGCAGACCCATCGAGCCGGCGCGTAAACGATTTCGCGCCGAGTCGCATAAAGCCCAGGATGACAAGCCGGGGGATGGGACAGCGCGAAATTTGACCGTGGTGCAACAGCAGAATCCAAATCCAAGCTCCTTCCTGACTTTCACCCCTGAGCCGCCCGAGCAGCCGTCGCACACTGGATACCTGACGTTCGCTACCGTACTGCCGAGACGGCAGACGACTGTTGCTGAGGATCACTCGTCGGATATAGTGGCAGTGACACCTCTCTTCAATCGTGAAACAAGCAATACGAGTTGAAAATATTTTATTTTCTGTTTTCACTTAAATTTTATAGCTTATGTGAAGCTTGTCTCAAATTTGTTTACAGACTGTACATTTTTACAAGGCGACATTTGTGTCAGTACTTTACAAGGCCAGGTGTAAAATCTAAGTAAAAATTGTTTATCACAGTCTTCCGGGTTTCTGAAGCATTTGGTGCACCTCAGATATGTCGATCGAACGTGGTCCGGTGCCGGTTACGTGACTGGTCTACCGGCCGGTTGGTCGTCATTTTAAATCACCACAACGGCTTGTGCGCCTTTAGATTGTCGACGATTTCCGCTAGTCGTTCTTGCTGCTTTTTCTAAACGCGTATCAAGGAATCAACTGTAACGGACTGAACGACTGACGGACATGAACGAACCTTATGGAAGTTGATCGCGGACTTGTTTGCCTTCGGCTGTACCTCTTCGTTCTCTGCCTCCATTCCGGCTTCAACCTCCGCGCTTTGCTGTGTCGTACGCTCGTTGACTGGTTTGTCGGTAGCCGCTTTCATCCGCAGTTTCTTCGCGTGCCTGACAGGCAACTGGAAAGGCTACGAACGCACAGATAGATATGCATTCACAAAACATATGATACTGCCGCGCGAACGTCTTACCATGAAATCTCTCTTGATCTTCATCTTCTCTGCGAATGTTTCGAATACGTATTGCTTCATGTTAAGAGGATATCTGTTTCGCACATGCATCTTGTCGAAAAGCCGTTGGCCCTTGTCCACGCGATACTCGCAGATGTACACGTTCTGCTCGTTGTAACGGGGCACTTTCGGCCTTCCGCGGCAGTACATGGCCGGGTCGAGAACCAGACATCTGCCGACCACGGTGCTCAACGGAAGGGTGTCGTACAATGGCGTAACGAACAGCTGAAACGCAGACAAGCAATCATGCTAGTTCGCACTGTTTAGTAGGACTGAGCTAAGCCAAAGCGAAAAACGGTATAATGCTTATCTTTAAAGAAGCTACACGAACGCGACAATGACTTGGCAGTGAGAGAGTTGGTGAGCAAGACAGATAAACAGAGACCTATCACCGGCCGGTCAGATGTCTCCACTGAGTGCGTTTAGAACGTCTTTTGTTTGTTACGTTAACGCAAAGAAAGTGGTACCTCGTTACGATAGAACTTCCTCGTCGGTTCACAGAAGGTTTCGTGAGGTCGAGCGAAGTAGCTTCCGAAAACAAAGCGATGACCACTAAAAAACAGCCAACACAAGTCAAAGTTATGTTGAGGAGCCGCTAATGTAAAACCATACTTTGGCCCACTGAACAGTCGCTCGACGCGGAAAATGCGCAGATCATTCGAAACTGCGCTGTCGGTGACGCATTCGACAGCTGAAAAGGTAGCCTGCCGCTTCCGGTTTGTCGCGCCTGTGTTGTTAGGAACTTCTAATGCCATCGTCGTCGCAGGCGGCGGCAATTCAGCGCTTGAAGCAGAGGGCATGGTCGTGCCGTCGTTGTCGGTGAGCACGCAGATGCGGTTCAGCTCTGCCATCATCTGTCGTTGCTCCGGGGTCATCTCCTTTCTGACGTACACACACTCTCCTGCAATACAGTGGTAAATGGCTGGTGTTCATAAACAACTAGCGCAGAAGCGATACCTATGCGAACATACATTACGCTGCTGCTGAGTATGCGGTAGTACGTGCAGTTCGGCAGTCTGATCTCTGGCTGCGGAGACAGAACTATGTCCCTGGTGAAAAGCTGGCAACTACCATGTAGACAGAAGTCGCATTTATACTCTTCATCCTCCTTTTTGTCATTAGCACAGTCTGAATGTTGCCAGTACATGCACTTGTCACACTGTATCATTAAACCTAAATAAAACGGTCATATATTATTACACCGTACACCACGGACGTTAGCGTGTGTTTGACTGGGCTCCGCGACTAGGTTTGTACCAGTTTCAATGTCTGTAAGTGTCTTCTGGAACGTGGGTAAACGGGTGATGGTACAGTTCTGCAGTTCTAGGACACTATTTTTATGAACTAAGGTGTTAACAGTAGAAGGATCCGAAAAATATGAGCTGTAGGTAAGTTTTTTCACTATGGCGCGCTTTCCACCAAATACCAGTAAGGGTATCCGAATTTTAAATGCTTTCCTTTGCATGGCTGGTGTGTCGGATTTAAGTACTCAATTACCCTTGGTTGCGGAGCATGGAAATGACAATTTCTCGTGCTGAAATACGGGCGATAGCTGATAACGATGGATCTGCGCAGTGAAGTAATGTATGCGCAATAGAAACCGATTAATGAGTGCAGGTATTAACTGATTTTCTGTACAGACTGAATATCTGCGGTTCGAATTTCGACGAAAAAGGAACGTTTTCTTCCGGGCAGCTGATCCTGTACTAAAACAGCATGAGGTCAGTCGAACAGATTATAATAATGATTTATTTCTAACGATGTTCTATACGTCAAGAGGGTTTCACTGGTTCTAAACTGCCCTACGTTTTCTGTGCAAATTGATCACCGTAAAAAATTAATGCTGAAGTTTCCTGCATTTCCAGGGATACTTTCTGCATCCATGCACGACAGTGACCATAAACGTGTGCCCTGCTTAAACGGCCTCCAGTGTGAGTCCCTTTCTGCTAAAAGCAAGGAAATGGTGCGCTTACGCCGAGTAAATCCGGAAAAGTAACAATAGGCTGTTATTCTTACCGGCCGTATCAAAACCTAGCACTCCACTGATAAACCCAGAATACCGGGCTTAGATTCTATGTATAAAGTTTCGGTCGTTGGGAGCATCGCCGAATCAGCCTCCGAAAGCGACAAAGTGGTCTTTGTCGTGGGAATGGTGTGACATTAAAAAACAGCGATGCTGATTCGAATACGTCCAAATCATGAATGATATGACTGATTGAGGACAGAATCATTCATGTGGTGCTTTAGCTCACCGGGAAATTGAGTTACGTAAATTAGATCATGAAACTTTACCGTCATCCTCAAAGATTCCACATATGCATCTAACTTTGTCATCTTCGGGAAAAACTGATTCGGCATGTTCCGGAAAAGCCGAATAGTCAAATTCAGGCAGCGCTGGAGACAGCGTTCGTTGCTGGTGACGGTCAAACGGCGCGTTGCAGGCGGCGGAATTTTGTGATGGCGGTGGTGGTTCGTTTGTTCTCAAGAAACTGTCGTGCAGCTTAAATCCGAGAATATCTTTCAGCTGTTCGGCGCAGTTCATCTTCAACCGTTCATAGAATTCCTCCAACTTCGATATGCGCTCCAGTTCAGACGAGTCGCTGGTGAAAGCGCGTTCGCTGGCCAAGAACGCGTGTACGTCGTGATCGAAGGCATCTGGCGTCGAGTAGTTGCCGCTGGCAACCTTTTTCTCGATCGCCATGAAGTCGTTGCCGCCGCCCTGTCTCAGTCCCTTGCCGCTGACGATCATTCGCCTCCTGAACTGAGCCGCCTGAAGAGCCGGACAGTACAGCTCGTCTCTGTCATCTGCACTGCAACCTCATTTAAAAGCGCACTTCACAATCGCCGCCGTTATACCTTTCGCGTTGATCATACAGGTGACAATATAT